GACTTACCTCCACGTGGTGCACCCTGGGCAACGTATACTCATACGGTAAAAAAGTCTACAAACCGGCAGTTGACTTCCGGCTTCAAGCTACCATCACCTCACTGTATGTCATATTCGACCCCTTCCACAGTACTCACCTCAACCTTTTTCTCTACCTTTGTGTCTATCTCGTTTTCATCTTGAAAACACTCTTCCGGCCCCCCCCCCTCTCGAATTTTGTCACTTTGATGTTTCTTCCCCTTTGTGAAGCCTGAAGTCAACTAAAGGGATAATGATAACTATCAAAACGCCTGCCACTTGATTTAAATGAAATATTCCCCACCCTATTAATTGCACACTTTGCACTTGTTGAATGTGACAGAGAGTAAGCAAGATCTGTACTGCCAGGATAACTGTAGTCAAGGAGCACTATTGCTTACTCACCTACCAGTTCTAAGAGCGCTTCGGTCGATAAATTACTCTGGCTTATTTCCCCTCATCAAACCATTCAGTGTGTTCCTCGCAGATTTGACATTATTAAGAACTTACTCCCTATAGCAGTAAATGCAGTACCGAGTCAAATGTTAATGATTGTTGCACAAGCTATTTCCATAATTGACTTAATGCTTCCTATAAATTAAGAATAATGACAAAATTTTGAAGTTGAGGGTTTATAATACCGGACATAGTAGAGAAGAAAAGGGTTTTGCTTAAAAATGCGGTATTCTTGGCAAATTTGGCTGAGAGAGAGAGGTGATTTGTGGCTCACTGACATGAATTTTCGAATCTACACACCTTTAATCTATCTTGACTAGCTTCGGAATACTTGTTAGTATCATTTTAATTTTTCCTTCCAGGCTGTGGCTGCCAGTCTCAAACGCCTTTCCTCGACGGATTTGGAGCGGTATAGCCAATTCGTAATATTCGACGATGAATGCTCCCTCACTGAAGATGTAAGATGTTTTATTTGTTAAATCATTTTTACCCTAAATGCTATTGGACGAAACTGATTGGTGAGCTTTTAGCGCTAATATTTGTTCCGTAGAATATTAACATAGTGCAATTTGAGTAGGGTTGCTTCCACTTCAATCGACTGTACACCCAGTGGGTTGGGTTTGGAAGGAAGGATTCAGGGTTCAATGGAGGATTTCTTTTTATACACTCAATCTCTTCCATCCACTTAAGAGACTGCCTAATAAATGCACACTGTCTTCCTTCCTTACTAAGTTGGTTTCTGTTTAAATGTTTTGCTCATATGGCGTCATAATGCAGTCAATATGATTTCATAAATGGGATGCGATTTGTGCTAGATTTCATGTTACTTTAGGTGAGTTTTGAGTTGTGTTTGGATTTCAATGAACTTGCGTCTAGGTACCGACGTCTGCTCAAATGATTAGTAGTAAACTTAATATAATATATGTCTTTGTTAAGAAATCTCATATGATTGACCATAAAGTCTTTCGAAAGTGGGATAGAGAACATGTCGAGGGCACAAACAGTGAACTGAATTTGTTATCTTGTCAACATGTCTACAGTCTTTAAAATCTAGTGAGGTCCATAAAGGTGATTATGGTCTCCTCTTGCCAATGACCATATTGACCTGCCATTGTTCTATCCACGTTTTGCTCTCGTGTTAGACTAATTGCCAACTGCTGACATCAACTTGCTTGTGCTTCACAGATTCTCGCGCAGCTTCCTCCCAGTCAGAATGAAATGAGAAGGAGATGGGCTTCAAGCACATCCCCTTCATATACTCTTTCATTTTCCGACTTGATATAGTAATACTCTACTCAATTCAATATCGTGTGGTCGTATATGTTTTATCTATTAAAAACCCGTTATAATGTTATTTAATGTCATTTGAAATGACTGATTTTCTTAAATGAATGGACAGCCACCAATCTATTGTGCTTGAGCTAGTTCATGAAGTCTGCTTGTATGATATTTATCACATTCTTAGAATTACTAAAATGTTTCTAAGATGTTGGATGAACCTATTTAAGGACAGAAAAGGCACTTTTTTAAGCCATCAGTTACCAGGGCGAAAGCGTTTGCTCATGACACCATGGAATGCAGTGAATGTTCCCCAAATCAGCTTAGTTTCTCGTATCTTAATTCCTCCTTTGTAATTTTTTAATCTGACAGTTTTTGACTTTTCTTTTTATTCCTGAAGCTTAAAATATTTGGTACTTGAGCAGATAGCCGTCAAGAAGAATTTTTCTGCCAAACTTGAAGAGAATACATTTCTTAACTATTTTTCTTCTCGAAAATATTTAATGGTAAAGGCATATTAGTCATTTTCCTGTGACCATAGGTTAAGAATTTGTGTTCTGTTTCTTTTTTTCAGGTTAATCGAAGGGTGTTGGGTGTAAATTTGACAGTCTCTTCCCCCAAAAAAGCGGCTTGTAACTTTAAAATTTAATAGATTTTAAAGAAATTCAGAAGATAATGGAAATACGTTATTATCGAACGCTTTTGCTTAGAAATAACCGCCGACTCATTTCGGCTTATGGCTCCGGAATCTGGAACAACCTGATTTTGTTTTTTCTTGGGAATAATCTCACAAACTGTTTCCATTATGTCAGTTTACCGGGCTTTCCTCATGATTGGACGTTGATTAGTGCCCTCCTCCACGGTACCCAATACCCACATATAATTTTCCATCGACCGAAGATCTTGGGATGGGTAATTCGTAGGGCAGGCATATACTGCAACTGATTTTGTCCTAAATAGTGGCTGGTAGCGATTCTTGACTCTTCCCTCAGATATGTCTTGGCCCGAATCCTCTTGTTGCTATACCTGTGGCCTTTAATTGACAACCGCCGTTCTTTATACAGGACCAAACTACTGCAGAGGGGTACAGTTCCAGCCCCCAAGGCGATTTAAAAAATACTGCGGAGGCGCTACATCACATCACATTCGGATTAGGTCTTATCTGAAAACCATGATACGATTTTGGGATGTTTGTGGCATGACAAGTTGAACTCTGCTCTATGGTAGAAGCTAAAGCACCCGATTAACAGAGTTAACAAAGCCCAAACCCCGATACCATAGTGCCTCATCGGTTTTTGCCACTTACTTTTGAGTAACTCTGATGTGGAGGCGTCATCAGACTATATCGTCTGGTATGTTGCTTTCTTTCAAACAAAGGGCACCCTGTGGTCTCCATTGCAACCTCTTTCACTGTGTTTGAGTTGGCATTTGCCACCGGCCATAGGCGTACTTTGATGACCAACGCACATTGTCGTAATGCAGGTTTTCTTCCTTCTTGTTTCGTGTAGGTTCCAGTTAGATATATGAATGAAGAAGGGTTAAAACTGCTAGATTTCATTTCAAAGGGCAGGCGTTTTGACAGTTATCATTAGCTATTTAGCTGACTTCTGGCTTCACAGAGGGAAGGAACATCAAAGTAACAGAAATTCGAGGGGTGGGAAACAGTAGAGTGATTCACTGATGTAAAAGACAAACAGGCACAAAGGCAAAGAAAAGGTGAGTTGAGTACTGTTGAAGTGGTCGAAATTGACATACAGTGGGGTCACAATAGTTTGAAGTCAGAAGTTAACTGCCGGTCTGTAGACCTTCTAGTCGTATGAGTATACGTTGCCCAGGGTGCACCACGTGGAGGTAAGTCTATCGCACACTCCCTTTTAAAATAATACATGGTGTGCTTGAGCACCTTTAACGTATTCGAAAAAATGGAGGTATATTATTCCCTACAATTTACTTTCCACACCAATGTACTAATAAGAATTCGTACACTTTATAATTTTTTTATCCAGTGGCAATGGAAGGGACCACTCTAATTATTTTCCATAGTAGACAAATTTGTTTAATTTATTCAATACATATTGTTTTAGTTTTAAGAGTCGAAATTTCTGACCTCAAAGTAGGTAGAGAACACATCAGACACTTTATCCTGCCTTTATTTAATCAAAACTTGAACGCCTGCGAGGCTACTAAAGCCATTATTAATATTTATGGTCAAGCGCCTAGAGCCCGCCAATGTGAATTTTGGTTTAAAAATTTAACTCGAGTAATGGGACTTTAAATTATACGCCAAAATTAGAACATCATACAGATTTTCATGACGTTATTAAAATTCCTGATCTATATCAGACTCTCGCTTAAATTGTGGAATAGTCATCACAGAAACTCACATTTTCGTGTTCAATTGTTTGGTAACACTTATAGTGCCTCTGTATCAACTCTCCCAGCTCCCTCCTTCCACCCCACAAAGCAGAAATAATTACCTAAAAGATTTCAGAAAAATGGATTAGGCGATTCTACCATATCGTCCATATTCGTCTGACCTTGCCCTCACTCTATTATTACCTTTTCAATGGCTTGGAGCATACTATAAAGGAGAGCATTTTTTAAAATATTTTTGAGCAGCCTGGGGGGGGGGGTTGGAGGAAACTACTTGAATGGGTAATAGCAAGCATATTCGACGAATTCAATATTGAATTTATTTTGAAAATCTCTTGCCTATATCGTTTCCTCAGTATTGAATTCCGCCTGCTGTTCTTTAGTTCTTTAATTGATTAATATCTATGCTTAACTATTCTCACAAAAAGTGGATAGTACAAGCTGGAATTTTTTTCTTACACCTCTGTTCAAAACTTGTCTTCATTCCTGTTTATATACCGATGCTTGTCAACATTCAGTGACATATTTTTTTAATGCCACAGTGTCACATTAGTGGCTCGACCCTCTCCGTGTTGATTTGTGTCTTGCTAACTAATACTTGACTCCTGTGAGCTCGAAAATACCACAACCCAAATTTTTGATTACCCCAGAGTTAAGGATGATTTCACGAAATTATTTCCTCTGTCATTTTATTGCCAAAATATAATAGCAAAACGACTTCCCATTTCCATCCTGGAAATATGTGTTTTGCGCCATTCGTGCTTTCAGTAGGTCCCAATTTTGTTTATTTACTTTTGAACCAATTGGAGTAGGATTCTCATGTTTTCATTGATCCCTGGTCTTGGTCTCGAAGACCATACTTTTCCCACTGTAACAGTACTGTTTTCGGCGTAAACAAAGAAGAGGTGTGTATGTGTGCGTGTGTTCCCATTGCATATTTTCGGCCATCGCCCGTGCTTATTTTGTCTAACTAAATAATGTTTAGTTTAGTTTATTCTTTGGATAACTTATTAATTTAGCTGACTGAATGTTATAGGAACTTCGTTGCACATTCTATTTAATGTTTTCCAACTATTCCAGAAGGCAGTCAGAAAGCGAATCAAGTATAACTGATTGGCGCAATTTACTATGCCAGTAGATCAAAGGTGATAGGGAATTCAGACAGTAGAGTTCGGGTAAATTTATTTAATGTCTGGAAAGGTAGAGCCTTTTTATAACATTGTGTTTAACGCGTTTTTCATTGGTTTAAATAGGGCGTTGAACAAGTAAACTCTGACATTTAATGTGAATCCGGTGGGAAAAAATTAAAACTCTATATTATCGATCGGTTTTGCAGTTACTATAACAACCACCGGTGTTTTTAATATATAACATAGACATGGCAATCGCAAGTTCCAGTACACTTGTTAAATGAATGGTTGCTGAATGCCTCGCCTTTAGTGTTAACATTAGTCAATCATGACGAAAATTAAGTAAACTAATAACTGGGTCAATTTTTTTTATTTTGGTCAATTATTTGGCACCCAATTTTATGCGACTCCATCCCCAATTCTCTTCTACGCCTTCATAATTTCCATGAAGGATTGGTTACACTTCCTTTACTTAACTACCCCAACTTGGTTGACCAGCATTTCATTGTTTCCACCTAACCTCTCTCTGACTTCCGGTGTATTTTTTTAATTATAATCTAATAGTTTTCAACGCCACAGGGAGATATGTAGTTATTAAGCAACCTTGTGGTTCATTTTTTTTGAGAGCGTTTCAAATACTGACTTTTGAGTATTGTTTAGCTTCATAGGGATCTGCCTTAGTGAGGAAATCGAATTCTGTCCTCTTCAAACTTTTCCCTTGGTCATTTCGTCCATAGGCTATGCATCAACAGATAGAATTCGTCACCGCTCACTTCACAAACAGCACGTCAACTATTGGTTGGTAGGTCGCCCTACAAAATTATATTAATACTATACCCCTTTGTGTCCTCACTTTTAAGTTAGACACAGGTCTGCATATCTGCTTCTTCTATAAGTAACGCGCTGTTATTGTTGACCTGACTTCGTTGTGGGTAAACAAATTGAATGGGGGGGGGGGGAAGAGACGTTCCTATAGATTATGCAAACTATTTATGAATCTTGTATCCTTAAAGTTATAAAAGCCATTCACGACATCAGTTTCGGCATTATATTCGAGGTAATGGTTAGTAAATCGTGTCGCTAGACATGTCGGCCAAATTTGTTTATGTGTTTAATG